CTCCACACTTTACACTCCTCACTCCACACTTTACACTCCACACTTTACACTCCACACTCCACACTTTACACTCCTCACTCCACACTTTACACTCCACACTTTACACTCCTCCACTCCACACTTTACACTCCACACTTTACACTCCACACTTACACTTTACACTCCACACTTTACACTCCACACTCTACACTCTACACTCCACACGTTACACTTTACACTCCACGCTTTCCACTTTACACTCCTCATTCCACACTTTACACTCCACACTGTACACTCCAGACTCCACACTCTACACTTTACACTCCATACTCCACACTCTACACTTTATACTCCGCATTCTACACTTTACACACTCTACACTCCCCACTCCACACTTTACACTCCACACTCCTTACTTCACTTCACACTCCACACTCCACACTCTACACTTTCCACCCCACACTGCAGACTGGTAACAGGGGAAACATGTACAAGACTGTTCAAATATAAACTATTGCAGAAAGATATTGTGCGTGACTGCATAACCATGTGTTTTGACATCTGTACCATTAACATACGTGTGAGCATTCGGGTTCGTGGGCTTCATCTTGTTTTCTTCCCAACTATGAAGGGGTTCATCACTTTTTGGGGGTTCCCCCCTTAGAATGGGCTTGGTTTCAACCAATTGCAGGTCTCTTGATGCACCTTGCTGCTACCAACTGGTAGAGGGTCGAAGAGTTGTTGCCTGCAATTTTCTGGTTTTTCCCTAGCCCTGCACGGCTTCCATTTTGGAGGGTTGGTCTGCATGCATAAATAGACTCATGGATATACATGCCAAAGCCCTCATCATCGTTTTCCTCATTTTCATCATTGCCACATCCCCCATCCTCATCCTCATCCCCATCCCTGTCTTCAGCTCCATCAGTTTTCTTCTGTGAATGTTGCACCTGAGATGTGTCGATCCTGGTTGGAACCGATAGCTTTGGTTCGCTTGCCTCCACCGACTTCTGGGGAAACCATTAGAAACCCATATTGATGAGTTCAGGTACTCATTTGTAAGCCCCGTACTCTCCAAGAATTGGTTCAAGCGAACATTTGCAGGAAACTCGTGTGGTTGGGGGGTGAAGCCCGTTGTTTCATCTTCCAGCAATTTACTTTTATTGGTTGTTAGACTGTTAGATACCAATTTCTTTGAACCATTTTTGCGACATGATGTAGTGAACAGAGTTGATTTATCACCATTGTAGTTACTGTATATATGTATATATATATATGTTTGTGATCACATAATCCCACATACTTATTTATCACCATTGTATCTCATGACGCTATGTCATATTCATATTTTGCGATTTATTCAATGGATCACCATATACATAGACCCTCCAAACACCTATAGATGCCGACAATATGGACAGATGAAGACGCAGAGGTGGGAAGAATCAGACAAGAGAAAGTGAGAAGAAAGCAGATCAGAGAAGAGAGAGAGAGAGTCAGAAGAGAGAAGATCAAGGTGCACGAAGATGTAGGATAGTCGCGAAACACTGTGTTTTTCCAATGTTTTGTGGCGCCGGAGGGTCGAAAAGTAGGCTCGATAAAGCGACGAGTGCGGAGCAATGTGGCCAGATGAGAGGTGACAAGTTGCACGTCGTTGTGTCGCATTTCTAAGTCAAAATGTACAAAGCACACCATTCTCGGAGCACTTGGAAGTTGAGATGCTCAAAAAGTCAAAAAGTGCATGCTGCTGTGGCGCGAAGCACATTTCGAAGTCATGTTGGTGCCACTTTTGGACGTTGCAGCGTTGTTTTGTGTGGCAGGCGCAAAGGATTCTGCACCCTGCCAAAGGAGCAAAACGTTACGGTTTTGTAGCAGTTTCAGAAACGTTGGCAGGCGTGGGACATTTGAAGAGGATCTGCAAAGAGGCATTTTCCGTGGCAGGCGCAGTACAAGAGACATGTTCAGCAGAGACGTTAGGAGGTGATTTCCTGAGAGAGGTTGCATTTTGGAGCATCAGCTCTTCTGGTTTGGTAAGATGATTGTGTGTGACAGGTGCAGGACCTCGTATGACCAGGCATCACTTTTTCGTTGCAGGCGCAGCACTTTACACAGATGGAGTGGAAAAATCGCAAAATGCATTTGCACGAGGCTGTCAGCTCTGCACTCAATTTTCCATTTTTGAAGGAAGTCTCGCAGAATTGCTTCGTTTTTGATGTTGTCAACTTCGAAAATTGAGGAAGTCTCTTGAGGAAGTCTAGCAGAATTGCTGCGTTTTTGATGTTGTCAAGTTCAAAAATTGACGCAGACTAGCTTCGTTTTCATGCTTGCAGGTAGACAGATAGATAGATAGATAGACAACTACAACTACAACTACCACTACAACTACCAGTACAACTACCACTACCACCACGCTATGCACTACTGCAACTACAACTACAAATACATATGCAAATACAAACATATTACGGTACATTACACTACACTAAGCACACTACACTACACTACAGCTACAACTATATCTACAACTACACTACGCCACACAATTGCACTACACTACACTACAATTACAACTATGACTACACTACTTCACACTTCACTAAGCTACACTAGCCTACACTACACTATACTTCACCACCCTACATTACACTATACTACTGCAGTACACAACACTACAGTACACTTCACTACACTACGTTACACTACACTAATTACACAACACCACAACTACAACTGCAACTACACTACAGTAACTACATTACACTACAACTACAACTCCACTACACTACAACTACAACTACAACTGCACTACACCACACTACATCCACCAGCTGTGGGTGACGTGACCACTGCAACCATTGCAACCACTCCAAAAAACACAACTCCAACCACTTTTCGGTCCATCACTGGATTCGCTCTGCCATCCATGCATCACAACGACTCGCTTCTCTTATAGTGTCCTATCTTTGAAACTTCCGCCGCCGCCTTGTGCGGTACTACCGGTATCCCAATATGCCCCAATCATCACCATACATCGTGAGAGAAATCCCATGTTTTCCTGAGCCCTCTGATACTTGGGCTCTTTGATACTTTTTCTTTTGGCGCCTGGCAGGACCCCAGGGTTTTCCCACCGAGCACAAACCGAACACGAACAGAGGCGCCAAGCTGACTTAGCATCGGCGCCATGGGGTGCCCACGGTTCCATGGTCATTTTATCCATGAACATTCAATGAACACATGGGAATCATGAAACAAAAACACAAATTTTGGGAAAAATATTGGACAGGTTTTGATGTTTAGGAATATCAGATTTGGGAATGTCAATGCTATGGGTATATATTGGGGTTCGATTGCCGACTTGGAAAATCCAGAGATTTTGTTGTATCGCAACCCCGAACCATAGAGAAGGAACCGTTGAACACCTGGACATTTTGGAGGAAACATCATCGATGTCGGATCCTGGAAACACTTTTCGGCATTTTTTGGGATCCTTATGTTCAAACATGTGTTTTTAACATTTTTTTTCCAGCAAAAAATGGAGGTTTCACCAACAAAAATGCGATTTTCGCGAACTTGTCCTACAAAGCAAATGTGGTATGGTTATCCCAACAGGATGATGATTCCCCTCCAAACGTAGAAAAATCAAGCAGATCTACACCACCAGCCCATTACGGCACTCAGTAAGTTGGAACTTGTTTTGGATCATATTGATATTTAGGTTTTACCGGAGTTTGAGCTGTCTCAGCATGAAGTGCGTAGAGGAGGTACTTGACATGACCAGTGTTTCCATAGAGAAGCAGGTCAGTTGTATCGAAGTGTGGACCAACAATCCATTAAACAATTAATTCCATCCCATCTGTTCATATTAAGCTGTCCTATTAAATACGGTCCCAGTGGTTTCATCCCCAACAATGAGGGGTTGTAAACCACAACTAGGACGGGACTAGCAGCTGAGCAACAATCCCCAGTTATTATAAACTGTGATTCAATGGTCAAATCCTTGAAATAATGGTTCATTGAAGTAAAATTGCACGGGTTAAATCCCGAAGCAATATCAACATTTATTGGCATGATAATTGGTCAAATCATGCCAATTTCATGTCTTTTGCTGATTGAATACCCAACGCAACAGATGTGGAAGTAGGGGGTTCTATTTGGCACACTGGGGTCCTACTTGGTAGACGTCCTTTCTTCTGTTTCACTGTTCAACTGTTCTGCTTCCATGCAGCAGTTTTCCCCGTGGCAGTGGTTTTCGTCTCTGCTGCCACCTTCCAAATTTCTTTTTTTCAACATGCTTTATGACCGCGCACCAACCACTGCTGTGTCATCGTACGGCACCTATTGCATTTGTACTGTTCGCGAGTACGTTTCTTCGTTTAGGTTTCACCCCAGTTTTTTCTACAGTAGCTATTTTGTGCCATGCTAGATTAGAAGTCCTTTTTGCCAGGAACTTCTTACATGGGATTCGTGTGTAAAAATAGAAGATGTGCACATGAAGACATAGACGATAGACCAAGGGCATTGTATATATATATATATACACATACACACTCTCTCTCTCTCTATATATATATAAACCCACAATATATCAATAGTTATATCTACTACATATAGACTCTACATACACCAGGTATTTTTAGATTTTAAACACGGGATGTCCTCAGGACTGGTTGTCCGGGTTGCTCTTTTCGCCCTTTCCTACGAGCAATGTTCTTTTTCAGGTTCCAAGGAAAGCAACCAGGTCGTCAGTTGAGAGGATTGACGGTCTTAGACGGCTCACATTGAGTCCCTTCCGCAGCATTGAGTCTTCACGAGACAAACAGGTCGGAAATCTGCGCAAAACTATCAACCATATAGCCTGAAAATACACTCATCGGCATCGTCATCGTCATCGTCATCATCATCATCATCATCAGCAGGAACCTCCCTGAAAATGATGTAAAGCACCCTGAACATTTGGATGGGTACAAAAGTTGCATCCTTTGAACTCAGTGCGTTGCCCCTTTTTCCTGATGTCCCATTGCAGGATGTCCCGATCGTCCCGGATACCCAGTGGGGATGATGGTATATTGATGTTCATGGTCGTGGGTTGCCACATCGATGCCCATCACAAGCAAGAACATATCCCAACAAATCTGTGTAAATAATTGTAACTATGTGTGCTGATTATCACTAGAAAATATCCCAACACCGTAATTTATGGATGCTACCACATCAATGCATATCCCTATACAACAACTTACTTTGTTTGTCGCAAAGACTTTCAAAATCCACCCTGTCACTGGTGATGTCGAGGCCTATCCCCCATGAACCTGCGAGGTAAGTTATGCAGTCATGCTGCAAGCTACCCCAAAATCATTTTTGGCAGCGGGTCAAAATTCAATACTCACTTGGTACTGCAGACCGATTTCCGATTTTAACCCATTCCCAAAAAGAGTCTCACGTGCTCATTGGCAACCAGAATTCTCCACCTGTCTTATCTTGGGAATGGACGCTTCAAACTTCACCGAAACAAAGCCTTGGACTAAAAACGAGCTCTCAAACTCAAAGTGGTAGTTGTCACTCTTGTCCCTCTTGTCCCACCCTTTCCTGGGTATATAAGCCAAATATGTTCAATTGATGGAGGTGAACTCACCAATTTTGTCCTCCAGTCCGGCACCCCCAAGTAGGATCCCATTATAGAATGGGCTAACCCCGGTGCCGCCGACCCTCTTTTTTAGACGGGCTGGAAGCGGGGTGTCCGTAGCCAGTCTGGGCAAGAGCAAGAAGCCTAAAGCTGCAACAGTTTCGCAACCCTTGGCGCAAGGGGCTGAAGCTGCAGCGACGGTTTTGGGGCTGAAGTGTGCCAAGCGGCAGTTTCGAAACCTGTGGCTCAATCTGAAGCTGCAGCGAGGGTTTTCAGGGGTGGGCGAAACATGCCGAGCGGCAGTTATATATAAGAAAATTTTGAGGCTGCAACTGCAGCAGTTTCGCGACCCTTGGCACAAGGGGCTGAAGCTGTGATCCCAGGCGCCGCCCCGCCTAGGCCAAAGGAAGGGGTCGGCGGATATCCCCATTATATCCCCCCTAAATCCAATTTTTTCGCAGTTAAACCGCCATTCAATCCACATTTTCCATGCTTCACTTCTGTTTCTCCTCATTCTGGGTCAGGTGGACACCGCGGTGGACACCTCGCTGGCGACCTGGCCGGAGGTGCAACCTCAAATTGCTCTAATTTTGTGTTGGTACTTGGTACTTGTATGTTGTACATTGATATAGGCTATAGGTCTTGCCTTGAACATGTGGAGAGTGACCACGAATCTAGGCTTAGCACTGCAGGATTCTGGAAACAATATGAAACAATCACATCAGGATGATTTTGAACCTTGATCTTTAACAACCAGAGTGTCAAAAGTTTCCCCCATTGCCTCTGTCTTGAACGTAACTAGCTGATGTGCTCAACAGCCCTGAGTCAGCCCATCTGATGGTAACTGTTCGTGGCGGGTAAGAGTGCTGAAGTCAAAATGTGTTTGTTTGACCCTGATCTTGTTGCCACTGCAACTGCAGGTGACATCAAGTCTCTTTAGTCAGACGTCTTTTCCGCAAGAATGCCTTTTTAGATCAATTCTATTCTCTTTTATTATCTTCTCTTCTATTCTATTCTCTTTTAATTATTCTCTTTTAATTATTCTCTTTTAATTATTCTCTTTTAATTATTCTCTTCTCTTCTATTCTATTCTATTCTATGCTATTCTATGCTATTCTAATCTATTCTATCCTATCCTATCCTATTCTATTCTAATCTAATTAATTTGCAGTGAACCAGTTGCGTGATTTAGGAGTCATCGGATGGGTCCATCTGTATCCAAAATCCGTGAAGGATTGCCTCCTCCATCAAGGTCTTCCAAATCCCATGGTCTCTTGGCACTTTTTGTGTCTGCTGAAGTGGGCCAAAATGACCGTCCGGAGTCCCCAAACATGGCTGCAAAATTCCCATCTAAAATGGAGGTTTAGAGTTCAAAATTGTGAGAGTCATCGAACCATGCTTCCAGCCCCAAGTTTGAGGACACCACCTGCACTAACAGTATACTAACAGTCGAATGTGGTAGAACCAAAAGCATCTAAGCTGATATATAAGGTGGAACTCTCCAGACTTGGAGCAGGATGAATTGCAACCACCAAGTCAACCTGTTCCTCCGCTAAACCCAACAGTTGCAATTGTTGCACCTTGGGGCGTTGAAGTCTGTCTGAAAATGGAGTATACAGTACCCATGTTTACCCCCAATTATAGCCATTCAATTAGCCATATTCAATCATATTCATGTCATTTAGTGGGGAAAATGATGATTGACCATGAAGATTTGAGTTTTCCACTTATCTTTCTGGGAGGAATCCTTGGCAATTCTTCGAGTCTACCCATACACCATCCTGGCGTTTTTTGGCCAGAGAGCCTGGTGGACATAGAACACATATGAACACATACTGTGAATATTATTCAATATTCAAGATTTGTCTTCAACAAAAAAAAATCACTCAGTAAAACCATGACCAGAAACCTCAAAAACATCGTGCACATGTGTCATTTATTTGTAGCGCTTGGACGAAGGTCTGAACAGCCTGGATGGGGACCCTGAGGACCCTGGATTTTACGATGGTGTTGTGGGCGATAAACAGTAAACAATTTGAAAAACACAGGGGCACCAATTGGCCATGGATCATTTAGATCTTGTGAAAAATGCTTCAGAGTTTTGAAAACGGATTGGATTTCCAAAATCACTAGAACTATGTTTACTCGATACATAGTGAAATTATTCGTGTAACATGAATTCTACATGATCCAGTATAGATTTGGCGTTTTTCGCCAAGGTCTACGGTCCAGATGGAGTGTGGATGGAGGCGAGCGAAAATTCCTAATGATGGTTGTTATATTGACTTGAAGACAAAATGAGGAATGACATGATACTGCACATGTTATGTTTCTTAAAGTTGGTAGTCTGAAAGCAACTTTGGAACACATTTCCAAAAAGCTTATAGGTTTGTGATGTGGTACACCCTAATGAATAAACCAGCCCCAATTTGACCATTCTTAAGCGGATTGTATAAACGGTATAGACAATTCCTAATTGGAGTTTTTTCTTTTGGGTTTACCACATCAATCTCAAATTGCTTTGGTTGTTATTTCATTTGTCATATGGGTGTGTCTGACAATAGTGTACCCCTAAATCCAGTGGTTTATCAACATTTTCCTTTTAAAACATAAGACTTTAGGGGTCCATCCCATTTTTGAGACACACTCATTTCATATCAAGTTAATGCCATCAACCCCAATATCCCCTTAAAATTCCATTAGATCCCATCAAATCCCATTAAGACACCATCAAGCATCAAGCACCATTAATTCCCATGGAGTCTTATTGAAACACCTTGAAATCCCCATTAAATCCCATTAACAAACGCACACACACAAATCACACAACATTGTTGGTCAGGCCGGGCGGGATAGTGATCCCAGCTGATCATCGTTGAATTTCGAAATACACCGGGACCGTGATGTATAAACATTATGTTGTATGTATAACATGATATATTTACATATAAATATACATATATTGGATTGCGGCATTTATTGATATATATATATATATACAATATCAAATATGTATGATACAAACATACATGCATACAAACATACAAACACACAAATATACAAACATACAAACACACAAACATACATACATACATACATCCATGCATCCATCCATCCATCCATCCATCCATCCATCCATACATACATACATACATACATACATACACATATCATACACTTATATATATATATATATGTACATAAACACACATATATATGTACATAAACATATATATATATGTTTATTCAGGGAAGTGGACACCGCAAACAACAATTTGTGTGACCTTTTGGTCACCATTTTTTGCAACGTCATCTGCTCCAGGTATCCTTTCTCAATAGCAGGATAATGGAATCAAGCCAGACTCCCAGAGTGAGCCTGTTGCTAGCCTTGGAGCAATTGCTATGGGAAGTCCTGGAAGGATGGGTCTTTGCAGTTACGAATGTAATGTGTCACATGGTCAGACGTCAGATGAACTCACAAAACCGAGATTCATCCTTGGTAGACAAACTGCCTCAGCTCATATATTCAATGTGCTTACAATTTGGGCCCCCTAAGCTAAGGTGGTTGAACTAGCCAGGTTAAGTGTTCGGTTTATGGCTGTTATAAATAGAGTCAGATGGGTGAGTATAAACCAACAATTCATCAACCAACCAGCGTTTATCATGCATATTCCCATATGGTTGACGCTCGAACCCCCCTATAAACAACAGTTACATCTGTTAAATCGTACGAGGAATAGTCAAATCCTATAAAAAGGTGTTAAATATGCCATAAACAATAGTGATACCCATGCTTTAAACAATAGTTCACTTTATGAAACTCTTGCTGCCTCTAGCTGAGCGAAATTAACATATATAATTGTTTTTTCATGAAAAATATCATTATATGTTCATTGCCAACATGGGTTTTAATTTGGATTTTCATTGGCATTTTCATTTGGTTTCATGGCATGTATCTTATTCATTGGCAATGCTTGCTGTGCTCCTCAGCCAAAATGTCTTGGAAAATGATGCGGTACTTTTTGTAAAAGAAACAATTTGAATGCAACTGTAAACACAAACAGGAAACAAACATCAGACAACATAACGCGACACTAGGACAATGACACAATGAGCAGGAAACAAAAATCCAAAAACCAAATTAAAAATGCACTTGTTTGACAGCATGAACGTAAAAATGAAAACAAACAAATACAAAATCAACGAGCATGTTTGACACCATTAAAATGTAAGTGAAAAAACGAAAATCGAAATCTAACTGAAAAAAAAATGAAAAGAACAATGAAAAACAAAAAGAAAAAAGGAAATCGAGATGAAAAAGAAAAAAAAAGAAATCCGCATGAACAAGAAACTGAAAAACAACTGAAAACCGAAGTCCAAATGAAAAAATGAACATAAGAAAACACATGAACATTTATTGGTGGGAAAGCAGGGGTTGTCCAAAATCTGGAAAAGCCTAATTTTTCTCTAGATTTTTCATTGTTTTTCATTTTTTTTTTGCGTTCTTTTTTGGCAATTTTGTGGCAAAGAGTTAGCTCCTATACACAAGAATTATATTCTATAAACTCAATTTTTGCAAGCAATAGTTAAATCCTATAAATACCAGTCAAATCAAACAAATAAATACTACTTAAATCCTACAAAGATAAAACACTAGAAAAAATCCTATAAAGCACTAGTTAACTCCTATACAAGTTAAATCCTATAAAAGCAATAGTGAAATCTTTAAATTTCTGTCAACACTAGTGACACTAGTGAAACTCATTCCACTACTAAGGGATCTTAGAAACTGCGCCGGGCTGAGGTTATCGGACTAGACCTGCCAAGTGTCCCGCAAGGGGTTGGCACAACGATGACGTTGGGCGGCCATTGCTGGTTGGGGCAACCCGACCCGGGCCCACCGGATCCAAAACCACTGTTGGGATCAAATTGTGAGAACAGATTTTTTGGGTTTTGTTTCTGGAAAATTTAACTTGACCACTGTGGCTCACATGTTGTTGTGGTCGAATTTATGTGAAAATGCCCATGATGAGCTGCTTAAGAGAGAAACGTTTTGCGGCAATGAAACCCACGAGAAGCGCCATTTTCAGTGGCTTTGAGCATCATTCCCGATGGTCCTGATTCGGGGCGGGTGGTAAATCAGCGATTCCTGGACAATCCCAAAAAAAACATCGTGTTCGTGGATGTTGATTACCACATATAGCTATGAACAAAATACAAACTTTGTCCAATTATTTACCTATTCAGAGTGGTGATGTCCTATAATACTCTATAACCATGTTGGCTTACAAGAGGGTAATACACATATATATATACATACATATATATTAGATGTATAAGTATATACAAATACAAATACAGTAAATGGTTGCAATATTTATATCTCACGTTTGGCACCTTCTCTCAACTTCGGGGAGGGCCTTCAAGCAGCGCTTGCATGCGCTTGCTGTGATGTCCAGACATCTCCCCGCAGAACATCGCACCACAGAGCAGCAGAAATTGTGCATGAAGCTGCGGCATTGGCATCTCAACATGAAGCGAACTTACAAGGGTCCTGAACAAATCAGAAACTTGCAGTACGTCGGACATAGCCCAAAGAAAAGACAACACAAACATAAAGCAATTAATTATAGAAACACATCAAAAGTAAAAAGGCTTGAAGTACAGAAATATATTCAAGTCAGCATATTCAAATAAGGAATTATAGAAAAAAACATGTCTTTTGCATGTTTAGAGCCGCAGTCGCTCTTTTTTGGAATCCGGCTGGATCACCCAGGATTCCACGCAAGTGCTGTTGCAAAAGGCAAAGCAAGTGGGACATCCCAGGCGCCAGCAATTTGGACGGCCTTTTGAATCAACCAACAGATAAGAAATTTTCCCTCTGGTGATTTAACATAGCTACGGAAAATGGCACATTGCTAGATGATTTACCTACGAAAATTGGTGTTTTTTAAGCTATGTTAAGTTACAAGAGGGTAGCGAACTGTAATTCTGGATGAATTTGATCATGACCTCACATTGTGATGTCACTGGAATCATGGTCAGGTTTCGGGGAATCATCCAGAATAATTGGGATACAATAGGGATACATATATATATATACATACATACATACATAATTATATATGTATATATTGTAGTCGATGATGATCTGGATATTATTAAAAATATACATCTTACATTGTCAACAACCATCTGTGATGTTTGGGGACGGGTTGAAACTACCAGCCAGCACTGATTTGTTCTTAGACTCACCACGGAGAGACCAGTCCCTGCCAAGGGAATTGCTTGTCATTCCGTTCGATCGAATGCTGAAATTCTTCCTGAAGGTCATTTTTTTTTGAATGCCAACCATCATTGGGTTGTTATGGTTGTTATCCCCAGCATATCCCCATTTCTGTTGGTTATCCCCCATTTTTTCCTATCAATCCCATTGGGGATGGGTCAGAACCTCTAAGTTGATGTTCTAACCGCGGATCCGTCGCAGGAATGGCATGCTGAATCCCAAAGGTAGCGGATGCGGATGGGGACTGCAGATTCTACACCTTTGAAATTTACATGCATGCATGCATACATATTATTAATATTTATTAATCATATATACATGCTTATTTGGGATATAGAATATGTAGATATACATCATAGAAATATAAGATGGTTGATTGGCTATGAGTAGGTTGCCACACCAGAGAATCCCGGATTTGGTCAGGGAGGCATCACCCCTAAGAGGCAAAACATACGTGCCATGGTCCAAAAGTTAGATTGAACTATTTCACAACTGCATGAACATGTGAAATCTACCGGTATATTAATAAGGTTTTGCATAATTGGATATATAACCAGCAAAAATCAACAGTTGGATCAAATACCATCATATACCCATATTGGGGGATGCTCATGGCAACACTAATTGAGAATTCCATTTACAGTGGCACAGGTATAACATAGTTCTAGGGGTTATATCCCAACTTATGGGGTTAAAATCCTATGGTGTTATACCTATTCATACTGGTATTCCCATGGTTAAAACCCCAAAGTACCTACGGATGAAGTCTGAAGGGGGTGCTGGTGCCGTCACACGCCGCAGTGGATTTGGTGATACCCAAGCATTGCTCTCGTGCCGCGCCTCGACAACGGTGGAAACGGGATGGATCTCTTGGTAGAATTTGCAAACTACATGTGTCTTTACAATCATGGGAGTTACCCTGTAATCAAACATGCTTAGCTGGGAAATCCCCGAACTAAATGGAAATTGAAATGGGAAACTGTCGGAAACTGGGAAAATCCATAAATGGTGGATTTCCATTGCCTGATTACCAGAGGTAAACAAACATTCGGATGTGACCATCAAGCATGGTGTTCCAGAACCTGCTTTACCTTGAATATCAATGTGTTTCGTGGTTGGCTGGAAACTCACCAAGTTACATTCATTTCATTTGCAGATTTTCCCACTCAACAGGGGATGTCATTGCCAAAGTTTATTTGCAAGGGGTATTTATTTGGGCGTGGACTTCAGAATATTTGGACACATTCTATTCATGATAGTCCAAAGCGAGGCTGACGTTGAATTCACTCAATTTTCAGACTCGTATCATATTCGACAATATGACATCCTCAATGTAAATGTCTGGGCAACACGCATCTGTGGGTAGTATTGCAGTAGTATGTATGTATATATAATATATATATATGTTTACATATACTGTACACATTGTACTCCTGCGGATACTACAATCTACAATATAAACTATGATATACCTAGAACATATTACAATAGTATGCTGACTATTTTGATGGATCAGCAGTCAAGCCCTACAGAGTTCCTGGGTTCACAGTTGTGCCCTGGACATGGGAGATTTTCCATGGCGGCCAACCAAGCAATATCCATCGATATCCCATCGGATTCTTCAAACATCTTGGTTTGTAAATTTCATTGATATGTCAAACAGCCAGCATGTGCCAACCAGCCAACATTTTTGTTGATTATATCACAACGCATCACATATATGATACTAGTTACTATATAAAACATGTATATATATACACATACATATACACATATGTATACACTATAGACTATATATGCTTGAATGGGCATACCAGTCTATCTACCAATATCAAAGGAAAACTTCGGCCCTTTTGGGGATCTTGCCGTCGATTGAGGTGCCCAAAATCATCCACTTTATTTGGCTGTGCTCTCCACTGGCTGATAAACGCGCAGAGAACCTGCGCGGTTTTGCAGCTTGGACAGGGAATGTCTGGTTGACTCTCAGTTCGTTTTAACTTGTCAACTCGTACAAGATGAAGATGCATTACATCCATCTACATATTGGAGTTGTCAATGGGATACCCTAAAACTCGTGATGATGAATGATGGATTTAATTCATGTCTTAAACAAGGTGGGCCAGAGAACCCAAAAGCAAAACGGCACAGAGCAAACCATTTTTTCCTGCATGTCGGGAACAGCACTGTGAGCTCAAGCCTACGACGCAATTTGGACGTCTTTCCAGTTGCTGTGGATCAATCATTGCATTGGTCCTCATGTGCATCCGTGGATAGATTGATCCCTTCCAAACATCCATTGGTTGATCATTTCATGCATATGGCGAATGGAGCCATGCCAACCTCCAAAGCAACTGAAAACGATTGGTGCGTGTCAGCCATATGACGAAATTGCAACGATTCTGGGCTAACTGTGCTCTGCACGAACAGTGATGTGAACACTGGTGGTTTTTGGTCTCATTTCAAAGACCGGCGGAAACAGCCACAAAGACAAACAACACTGAAACATATCTACAAATAAAACAGAATTAATACTGCTTAGTTCTATATAGAATATAAATTCATATTTATATATCTATATATATATATAGAGACATAAAAAACATGTGTTATATATACATATGTAACTATTTATTTCCACGTGCATGGCTATGTTTTATGGAAATGTTTCGCTTCAGGTTCATCCTCGGGTTCGCATTTTTTATTCCGTAAATGGGATCAAACCCAAGCATGCCACGTCTTGAATGCGGAACATGAACCACTGCATGAGTGCCGTTGCATGTGAGCATCACGTCCTCAGCAGCAACAACATGTTCAAAGCCATCTTCAAACAATTCCACGTGGTCTGCAGGAACACTTCTACTGTTATAAATTAAAAGGGTGAAACCATATTAGGCAAGAATATATATGTTTTCTTTTAGAGACCCTCCCTCCCTCCCATTGGGCTTGCATAGATGCAAGAGCGCATTCCATCCCCGACAATTTCTATGAGCGCCTTCCACAATATCTTCAACACATGCATTCAAACAACTCGACAGAAGTCCTTGGCATGGTGCAAGCCGCTCCTACGAGCAAATCTAAATGAAAAATGCCAGAAACCGCCAACTCAGCAATGACATGGGGACTCCCCCGTACCAGAAATAGCAACTAGAAGAATGTAGACATAGCTGTGGTGAATTGTGGCCCCTGACATCATCAGTGTTCATGATGTCTCAAGAAAGTTCAACTAGTTCTTGTGCACCTTCCTCCCCTTTGTTGGTCTTTTGGCGCTGCATCATTTTTTTCGCGGCTCCATGAATGATATATCAATCGAATCAAAACCTGTGCATTCAAATGAGGCAAAGCAAAGTAAGCAAAAACATCATGTCGTGGCAAGCCAATGATCACTCATGACATGCGGTCCAGAGGCAACGCACCCATGTCCAATGAGTGCACAGAAAAGATGTGGCTCGGAGGACAAGACAGTTCCCCATGTGTTCCCATACCCTTTGCAGTTATCATCCTGTTTTGACCACTGCGGTGCAGACTGCTCCATACGGCCAGGCGGGGCCATCCACTCGTGGATGAAATCAAAAAGACCGGTTGAGATGTTACACTCAACCTAAATGGTGGATGTGCTAACTGGAATCGGCGGTAGCCCTCATACATCAACCAGTTCGTGGAGCGGCACAAATGGACGTCTCGCTGAGGAAAGACTTCCTGCTCTGACTAGCAATGTGAAATCAGCAAGTGCTGCTTTCACAGAGCGTAGAAAGAATCGCATCTCTTCATCCAACAGGTCTGAGGCAGCAAATGCCCAATCTTGCAGCAATATAACAGCGGCGTCTAGGTCTTGGATCCAGGCCATGGCCTTGGCTGCAGTCATGGATCTGGTATAGGTGAGCACTGTCGGAGGGTAAGGTGATGATGTGATCCATTGGTCAGCACGATATGGGGATTCGACCCCTGGCACCTCCAATCGAACCTGCGTCAACATGGAGCATAGAACTGCAAAGGAAACCCAATGCATCTGCGTAACCACCGTCCGACATGCCAGTTCGAGGGCATCCACCATGCGCTGGACTTGCTCCCATCTGGATTCTGCTGCTTCAGCATTGCACCAAAGTCGCACGAAGGGCTTGAGGCGCAGTGACTCATCTTCCATGGGAAGTTTTGGCATTGTGCCGCAGCTGCAGGGCCACACCGAGTTGAAAGTTGGTACTCCACCCTCACAGCGTACTTGAACCTCAACAGACTCCCGGATAACAGTGGCTGTACATGCTGTGTGCAATGAAGCTTTGAACCTGCGACACTCCTGCAAAACTGGGTGGTCATGCATATCCATAATGCAACCTGCATGTTTTCATTGTCACACTCCTATAGCCGCTTTGCCTACGCGGTTCTGACCGTGAAAAACTGGATGGTCATGCACATTCACATAGCAATGTGCATGCTTTCACTGTCAAACTCTTATCACGCGGAAATCTTTTTTGGCATCCTCCCTCCCTCCCTCTGCCAAAACAGGTGCCGCTTTGCCTACGCATTTCTGACATCATTCTGACACCCTTGCTCCTCTGGTCGCAGCAGCACCATCGCGTGGTATACAGCTCCCGTCCTGCAAATGCGGCATGCACCACACTGTGGTGGAGAAGATACAAGCTAGACTGAAAGCAACATTCAGCAAGAACTACGAGTCGGAATTTTACTCAGACGAAGCCTAGACAGCGAAGTATTCACCCGGGTTTCTCGAAACTGCCAATGAGCACTTCTCGGTTGGAGGCTATAGAGGCATGCAAACAACGCAATTTTTTGTTCGCAGTCACAGCCAGGAACTTGCAGAAGGAAGCTGGCCAGAAGTCGATCCATCCGATTTTAATGCAATGCATATCACCTCCAAAAATTAACACCTGATTGCCAGGTGGTTGACCTCCAGTTCAGGGCGCCACTCGTCACAGCGTTCTTCTCCTTTTTCGATGGTTGTATTGGCTTCCACCCAGACAGAATGGATGT